TATGTCAGCATTAGCAATGGGACTTCGAACAATGTTCTCTTTAGACCAAACACTCTGTTGTCGAACTTGGTTATTGATATGTCTAAATCGACATCTTGGATGGTGACTGATCTGGTTTGAGGATGTTTTACACCAGGTCAACAATCGTTCAGCTGATGATCTCTTCATTTTCTATCTTCTGGAAAACATTGAACACTCACGTTGAGTCAAATATAAAGCAAAAGTGAACCGCGCGTATGTGTCATACCTGCCGCAACGGTACCGCATAATCGCACCGGTTTACCGTAACGCAGGCATCACACCCGCATGTATTTGTCTTCAACTTTAAGGTGGGAATAGACGACGTACGGTGTCCGGTGCGGTGTACGATGCATCGATACAGTAAAAATAGAAGAAACGAATCGTGTTCGCATCGTGTCCGCACCGAGTCCGAGCCCGTACCTCGTGTGTTCACTTGTTCTATTTTCTACTGTATTGATCATCTCGCATCGTACACCACACCGGACACCGTACGTCGTCTAATCCCACCTTTATTGAAAAAAAAAAATAAATTGTAGTTTTTACTAATGGTCTGTGTTTTATTGAAAGAATGAAATCAAAGCAACTTTAAAAGTCTTTCTGTTCTGCATCTTATTTAGCTGTAGAAATTGAAATATATTATATATGTAGTTTAACGACCTATTATACTGTACCATCAAATGAAAAGCAGCTTTTAGTCGTTCTGTTTTACACCTTATTTAAATACGGAAATTAAATTGTAATGTTACGTTCGTTACACTGTGCACAGCTTAGGTAAGGAGCAAGTCACCTTATTCTATAGTTAAGTTGTCAAAGTCCACTAAAAGTCATTACCTGCCCTATCTCTATTGAATATTATATTAATCTAACTACCTCAAATACTGGCCCTTTTTATAATGGTCGGTAACAATAGGGTCTAATGACATTTATGACATAAAGCTTATACATCAATTAGATAGAGACAACAAATCAACTAATCCTGCCAAAAGTTACTTTTCAGTAAGAATCATTAAAGGCGTCCTCTTTATGCTTTTAACGTGATTAGCGGCTAATTAAGGATTCGCGGAAGCCAATATCGCTGGATTATCTGGATTTAAGTTTAAGCCGTCAACATATTCTTGGTAAAAGTTAATTGCCATGTTTCATTCTGATCCTTGTCCACTTTGCCCTAATGATAAATGAGCCACCCTAATAATCATAGGTGTATCTGATTCAAGAATGTTATGGAGAGACCAGGAAATATTTTATGGTTTGGAACACTCCATAACAGAGGCACGGTGGCCCCTTTCTTTCCTATGTACAATACATGCAGCTAAGTTGGTGATATACTTACGTATCTAGTAGGCTCAACCAGTAGCGAGTTGAAATGTCGTCTGCTATAGGCGATTAAGTGCCGAGGGTTTGAATCTTCCTTTAGATATGAAAGATTTTGATGCCACTGCCAGTACTTCCGAGAGTCGCCTTGTGTTGACTTTCAGCCCCTATCACATAATATACTCAAATTAACGTAATGCACTCAATAAATGACTCGTTCACTACCAGAGCACAAAGAACTATGACATCACAACGACAGTAGACCCTGTTATATTTTTCAATCCACCAGGCTTTGTGTTGTCTCATAATTTAACTAGCTATTCGCCCAGCTAGGGAGCATTCTTACTACTTTTTGAAATACAACTAAGACTTAAGGTTCGTCTGTAGGTTATATTATATATATTAGGACTCTTAAGAATAGAGTGATGTCATTGAATTTGATACAAATTTTCTTTTTTTCCAGGGTAGCCTACATATAGAATATGATTTTATGGGCACACACTCTAGGGTCCTTATCACTGCTCCTCCCGGGCGGGATATTATCGGTAATTTGTCACACGTTGGTAAATGTACTATAATTTATTGCCAGAATAGTAAATAACCAACTCAAATAATGGTATAGTAAAAGTCAATACAAACTATAACAGGCCTAGTCATAAATAACATAATAGCATACATATTTATTTATTACCCGCATATAATCTAACATTTAGAAAAATTTCAAAAGGAAAATTGCCGACAGTGAACTTTGTTGTAACACATAAAAAAATATATTCTCTTCAACTTATTCCAGAACGATATTCAACAGAATAAATTTGCATAATTAACAATAACACTTGAATATTGATGGAGATAAATGTAGATTACCTTCGATAGGCGAATACAAATCCAATTCAAATTGTTTCCTTGATTTTTTTTAAGAATTGAAGAAAGCAAGAACGTACACCTTGACCCAGTTTGAAAACAAGCTGTTCTTTACCGACCTAGTGAAGTCATAGGTAGTTCAAAGTCCATATTATTTGGTATATTTCAGTGAACTATGAACATTCCAATACAAGTTAACGATAAGATAGCTAGTATTGAAGATGTAGGTTGAATATCAAACTGGAGGTAGAATAACCAATCAATGAGGCATCCCAGAACAATACAGATAAATAATATCAATACTTTCTATTGGATTATATAGGTGATAAGTAAAAGTTCTATTATACAAGGTTACTAGACCATTCAGGGTTGACAGATCTCGGGGTTTGTTAAAGAGGCGTGTTAGGTTTGCCTTAAGGGTAATTTAACTGACTAATAGTGTAAATTGGTTAATGTGCCCCCATTGTTCTTAATGGGTCTGTAGATTATTTGGATTAGGTATTAGGGATGAAAGCCGACCCGACTCTCG